CAGAACCTGATAACATCATTCAAAGTCGCTGGTATCATAAATCTTGATCTTACGATTTGGATGGATTCGAGTTTCATAGAAACTTGATTTCATCCTTTAAACTGTCAAAAGTATCATAGACTTTTGTCTTTTTCTGATATTCACAGGTATCATAAGACCTGATTTGATCCTGTTGGTGGTCACTAGTATCATACAACTTGATGTTATTCTTTCCATCGTCATTCTGTGAATTTTCACTGGTATCATACAATTTGATGTCATCCTCTAGAGTCCTAGCAAATATCAAAGAACTTGATATTAACCTTTGGATTTTGCAAGCGAAAGATAACTTGACGTCATCCTTTGGAACGTAAAGAACTTGATGTCATCCTTTGAACAGAACTCTATTTCAACCTATTGATGGTTACTGGTATCGTAGAACAATTTGTTATCCGTTGGATAGTCGCTGGTATTATAAATGTCACACCATTCTTTGGATTGTAATTAATTTTGAACAACTTGATCTCTTTTTTGTGGTGGTTACTAGTATCATAGTACTTAATACAATCCTTTGGAAAGTCTGTCTTACCATGATACTAATGTCATCCTATGGATAGTCAGTCTTACCTTGAAACCAATGTCATCCTTTGGATAGTCTCTAGTATCTTGAACTTTATTGCCATATCTTCGATGACCACTTGTATTGTAGAACTTGGTGCCATTATTTAGATAGTCTCTGGTATCATATAACGTAACCTCGTCCTTTGAACGGCTGCTAGTATCATATAACGTGACCTTGATCTCATTCCCTTTGGATGCTCACTCGTATCATACCACTTGGTGTCATCATTTGTATGATCACAATTATATATACTTTTCTCGTTCTTTGGATAATATCCTGAAATTTGATCTGATCCTTTGAGTGATCACTGATGTCAGTGGTCTTAAACTTGATCTAGTCCATTCTATGGTCATTAATATTGAAAAACTTGATATCATCGTTTCGATGGTCACACTTTTCATAGTTTTACGTGTCTAGAATTTGCATTGCTTATCTGTTCTTTTTTAATTTGATTTTTAGTATATTCTATTGCTATGTAATATTGTATGCTGTATTTAATGTAGTCAAAAATCAAAGTTATTTCTGTTTGACCTGAATTCTTGATATTTTTTCTTATTCTGTAAATAACTAATACAGAACCTACAAATTCTCGGTGTATATTAGGGTCATTATTAATATCAGTAAACACGTTTATTTCGGTCTGAGTATAGCTTATTGGAATTCCCTTACTGTTTACCTTTCGTATTTGACATTCCAAGTTCTATAATTCTAGTAACAGACTTCCTAACTATAACTAAATGTTTACTTTCTATACACTAAAAATGTTTCTCGAGGATTATTTGTCAATAGATATTTCACTCAGCAGTCTTCAAGTAAAAAAAAACTATTTCAGCCTCATACGAGCACTTTCAAAGTTCAAGCTGGCGCAACAATTAGAATAAGTTTCTGATAAGAGTAATTAGAAGTCCTTATCTCTTTCTCCGTGTACTCATTGCAAGAAGAAAAGGCACGTTATTTCTGATTGAGACAAACTAAAATAATAAGTAACAGCATTAAGACAGGCCTATTCCAATTGCTTTTATTTCTAATTGGTCAAGGTCATGCTCTTGTATTTAAGGCAATATATTTATTGGGCCAATCTAACTACAGTCTGATATTATTATGGAGAATTATGAACCTGAACCATTAGTATTAAACGTTTCTATATTATTTATAAATGATTCCTCCAATCTTATGCTTACTGAAGTTGTAAAGGACACTGGAGCCTTTTACAGTCTTTTATTATCATGAGACTGTTCTTACTCAGGAAGTAGAATGCGACGTCGTTAATGTTCATCTCCATTGTATAAACTTGTCATCAGACTTAGTCTCCGGACTCGTGACAGTATGAACATTACATTTATTACTTAGCTAATAAACTAGTTGGAGATAAAGTTGTGATTAATCCGTTTGTAAAGGGCAAAAGTTGTTTGGATCATAAAGTCGATCCTATTAAAATAAAGAAATCTCTGATTTATAGCCAGCTTGTGCATTTACCAGAGCTATGGCAATAAGCTCTTGAGAATGATGTTGATCAGGAAAGTATTATTTTAGTTGATACATGTATTGGTCTGGCTTTTGTAGAAATCACTTTTATTTCTAGTTTTGGAGAGGCCCCGAGTGGCCGAGTGGGCTAAGGCGCTCTCCGTTACGGATCACTGCCATTTCACCTTTGTCTGCTTGGGTTCGAGTCTAAGATTCGGCGAATGTGGATATGTGAGAAAGCTTGCCAGTAGTTTCTCGTGGGTCGGTGATTCTTTCCGCGGATACGCGGATTTCCCGGTTTCTTCCTCCACCGTGTATATATATATATCAAGTGCTGAAAAATGGCGTAAAGCCCCACAACAACAACTATATCTCGTTTGTATCAATCAAAGGGTATTGATTACAGTAATCCTCTTTTAACTACTCATTCCAATATTTCAATCAAGGTGACATATGATAATCACTTGACGTTGAACAGGGCAAATCTCCTGCGATCTCTTGTTTGCTTCATAGAGACATAAGTGAAATTGAAGTCACAGAAATACATGTTTGTTATTTTCTTAAAAATGGTGTCCTTATGAGAAAATAGAGACCACCTGAAGTACCCGGTGGTGATGAGTGAACGTTCTATCAAGTTCTAGTTTAAATAGTAGTACAAAAAGCTTTTTTGCATAAATTTGTATATTTCCATATAAGGATAGGTGTTGTCAATATTTATTTTGCATTGTTTGTTATGGGTTTTTAATTTTCTATTATATACCTTTTAATGTTATAGCATTGTAACATTGTATGTTGGACTTAATATTATTCAAAATCAATGTCGACTTTCCTAGACCTGAATTAGTTAATATTTTTATTTATAAGCAATTAATATCATAGCTAAAAAAAAATCTCTATGTGTATGGGTTTAATATTAGGATCATAATTTTAAAAAAAGATGTTTATTTGAGTCTGTGTCTAGGTTATTGGAATTTCCCTACAATTTAACTGGCTTATGTAACATATTCAATGTTCTGTATTATAATTTTAATAACAGAGTTTTTTTAATTATAACTAAAAGGTTATTTTGTAAACAGTAAGAAGTTTATAGAGTACTATTTTCCATTAGGTGACAGCTTTGTATTAGAAAATACTAACTGTGACCTGTCGTCAAGCAGAAGACTATATTATCTTACTACTGGAAAAATTATTCATTCGTGCTTTAAGATTTAGCAGATTCAATTTGTATTATTATTGTGCCCAGAAGTTAATTTTGGCTATAATTTATATCTTCATTTTTTTTAATTCAGTGATTTATGCAGTGTATTCATAAAACATATTCTCTTGGAGAGAGATATTCATTGGAATTTATAGCGAATTCAAACCTGAAATTATTTTACAGTCTTTTGTCAAAAAAATGTTGGTACAACACCAAGATACAAGCCACTACAGAACACATCAATAATTTCAGCATTTGAATTAATCTTTTTGTCTACTAAGGTTTATTCAGAACTTTCATTATTAGAACTTGTGTCTGTAATTCTAGGATTATTTGCGGATTTAATTCTCTATACCGTAAATTTTTTATTTTTCTTTTTCACTTTGTATTTTAGGTGATTAAATTATTTCTTTAATTTTACAAAAGCTTGTTGCTTTTCAATTTTTTCTGTTCCTTTTTTTAAGAGCATAGACTCGCAACAGTACAAGTGTGCGTCATCCTTGGGATAATCGCAGAAATAACATAATTTGGTTTCATCCTTTGGATGGCCACTGGTGTCAAAGAATTTGATTCTGTTGGATAGATATTAGTATCATAGAACTTGAAGTCGTCCTTTTATTAGTCACTGCTATCTTAGGACTTGATCTCATCCTTTGGAATTGTCACTAGTATAATAAAAATTAAAGTTGATGTCATCCTTTGGGTGGTCACTGGTAACAAAAAAAATTGTTGTCATCCTTTGGGTGGTAGCTCGTACCAGAAAAAAATGATATCATCCTTTGGGTGGCTACTGATACCAGAAAAATTGATGTCATCCATTGGGTGGTCACTCTTAGCAGAAAAATGTATGTCATCCTTTGGTGCTCACTGGTACCAGAAAACTCGATGTCATCCTTTGGGTGGTCACTCGTACCAGAAAAACTGCTGTCATCCTTTGGGTGCTCACTGATACCAGAAAAGTTGATGTCATCCTTTGGGTGGTCACTCTTAGCAGAAAAATGTATGTCATCCTTTGGTGCTCATTGGTACCAGAAAACTCGATGTCATCCTTTGGGTGGTCACACGTACCAGAAAAATTGATGTCATCCTTTGTGTGGTCACTCATACCAGAAAAGTTGATGTCATCCTTTGGGTACTCGTTCCCGAAAAACTGCTGTCATCCTTTGTGTGGTCACTGATACTAGAAAAGTTGATGTCATCCTTTGGGTGGTCACTGGCACCAGAAAAACTGCTGTCATCCTTTGGGTGGTCACTGATACCAAAAAAATTGATGTCATCCTTTTGGTGGTCACTCGAACCAGAAAAATAATTGATGTCATTCTTTGGGTGCTCACTGATACCAGAAAACATGATGTCATCTTTCATGTCAATATAAAACAATTTTCAGCATATATACATAATTAATATGTATCAGTTTCCCATAGTTCTACTATTTATTTCTTTTTTATTTGCTTTTTGTGTCTGGGGTCTCTTGTTTTCATTTTGCTAAAGTAATATTATTGTATCAACCATTTTGATTGTTCTATGATAATAAAACCACTGTAGATCAGCTTGGATCAATCGATTTTGTTTCCAGAGACTGACTATCACCATTTCTTTATCTGTATTGGCACTGTACAGCTGTATTAGCACTGTAAAACTGCATTGACACTGTAGAACTGCATTGGCACTGTACAACTGTAGTGGCACTGAGAACCAAGTGAAGCAGCTGCTAGAACCATTTTTATAAGAATTGGTATGACTAGACCGGGGTTTGAACCTGCGACCTCCCACATCTGAGGCGAACGCTCTAACCACCTAAGTCACCGAAGAGATCTCGGATATGTTTTTTTTTAGTCTCCAGGTCTACTTTTAATAAATAATACTTATCACCATTATAAGACGTTCTGTTAGTTTTATTGTTTTCATTATTTACCAATCTGTACTGGCTCACGAACCAGCCATATGTATTATAGTTAAATTGGCAAATAATTAACAACATTTACCTTGATATATTATTTTATCTAACATCTATTCCCTAATTGTTAATTGCTTTTGTGTCTACATATGGTATTATACTAATTCCACAACGGATTCCAGTACGGATCATAAGAATCATGACGTATGAAATGTTCTAATTCAGTACAGGATATAGTAGTAAGAGAAAACCAGGTTTTTTTTAGCCCAAAGACCCCCTCCTGCCCTCCTAACAAATACAAATTACCCCCTCTTTTTGTCATAAAATCCCACCCAAAAAAAACGGTTTACACAAAACCAAAACAAGGTTTTGAGCCCAAATTCTATAACTTTAGACATATGTTGCGTAATCTAAAAAAATAACAAAAAATATCTCCATGACAACTGAGTTAGGCAACTGCCTTTGTCATGCGGAGATGTTTTAAACTCAATCACGTGCTGCACTTTCAAGGGAACGGACGTATTATACCTTGTGAATCAGATAAGTATATTATTCTTTAAGTTTAGATGTTTCATACTTTTTTATATAATTTTTTCATACTTGCTAACCCTCATTGGTAGAATATCCGTTAACATACTGTCAATATTGCGAAACTCACGTATCAAATCATCCATATCATATTTACACCTCGTCAATAAGACCGTATCTGATCAAGTAATATTTTGTAAGTTATATTAGCTGTTTTGCAAGCATTTCGTTTGATTAAAAGTCGAGGTTCAATTTTTTACACGCTGTTATAAGAAAAACACCAACACCAGAAATGATTAGCAAAAACGGGTTTAATGATGCCCCACTTGAAACTATACCAGAGCTGGTCATTAACAACGGTAGATATGATATTACTCGAAGTATTTTTTATAGTATTTGTAACCTTTTTACACACCAAAGTTTTTGTGATAATATTTGTAGTATTGTATTAGTGCGTCCACATCTTGTTTTGGAATATCTTTTAAATATGATTAAAATCAATTACACTTCTTTCCATTATAATATTAGTTCACATAATCTCAGGGTGAATGAAATCATGATAATACGGAGTTTCATCTACAAATTCCAAACACCAATAATAATAAACATTTGTCAAATTTTCATCAGCTGGTGAAGCAAGTATAAAAATTTCTTCTTTACCATTGTTTAATATTATTGATACAGTTCCAGATAAGTCATCATTTGAGTGACACAATGGATACATGGTAAATATTCTAAACCTTATATTGCCAAACACTGACAATCTATACACACCGGTGACGTCTACAGTGTGTTTGATAAAATTAATTTTGGTGTCCATCTTCTATATCCAGCATCAACAGTATACACAATATTTTTAATATGCTTGTGAGGACTTTTAATCAGATTTATTTTCTGAACAATATTAGGAATTCCACTGATAATATCATTAAGTTTTGTGTTAATATTAGCGAGTGTAATATCGACAGTTGGTGGATTTCCAAAAAATTCGTTATTGGGTGTGTTTATTTCCTTACTGATTGGAGCTTCCTTATCATCGACGTATTTTTTGTGTTACAGCATCAAAATTAGACTCTGGGTTTCTAAGGTCAGTAATGTCATTATAGTTCATGTTGATAACACGTACATCATACCACCACGCCCCGACAAGTACTTTGATTCCTGATCGACATATTTCTTAGTAGCAGCGTCATTATCTTTGTTTGGGTTTCCAATAATGTAATCTTGCTCTGGTTGATAGAAATATTCCCCAGTAAATACATCACCAGCTTTTTTAACATAACCGTTAATTGAACTACCCGAATCTTGTATCTTACCTTGGTTATTAAAAGTAATGATATTATAAACAATTGCACTAGGAATTTGTGTAAGTACATCTGACAATTGTACATTACTCGTTCTATCCTGAAAAACAACGACTTCATTTGAGTCCACACTTGTAATATTTAATTAATTACTGATTTCATTTCTAAGCTGGTCAAGAGTTGCGTATCTTGATAAATTAACTTGCTGAGCTTTGTCTGACGAATCTATAAGTAATGTTCCAAACTTTTTTGTAGTAGCTCATTATGCTTATCTTTCTACACTAAATTGCTGATTTAATATAACATAAAATATACGATGTCGAAGATAATAAATTTTTAATACCGAGCTATTAGTGAAACATGTACATAATAATGAACTTCCAGACTGTCATTATCTTATTGTTGGGTGAACCGGATCAGGTAAAATAAATCTTTTATTAAATCTTTTGCTCAACAATAACTTTAACTATGATATGGTGTACATTTACACCATCAACCCCGAACAAGACAAATACAAATTGCTAAACGAATACAATGATCAACTTCGTGATAAAAATGACGCTGGTGTGGATATATTTTAGATAAAACAACCAGAAGAACTCGTTCCAGTGAACGAACTTGATTCGTCTGAACATAAGATATTCGTCTTTGATGATATTCCGCTAAACAACGAGGAGATGAACAAGATTAGGTCTTATTTGTCATTATCACGTAATAAAAGATGTAATTCTGTTTATCTTGCCCAAGGCTTTTATAACCTCGATAGATTTAACAGGCGAAATACGGGTTTATTTCCCGGACTAGATAATGTGGATGTGAGAAATATTGCAAACGAGTGACGTTAATGACGTTACTAAAGATAAATTTATCGAATTATATCATCATGCAACCAAACATAGATACAATTTCTTTTTATTTGACAAGCTCGCGCGTGAGCCAACCAAAATGTTTCGTTGTTGCATTGACACGTTTCAGTAATCTAATGTTGTGAAGCGATAAAAAATAATGGACAAGCATCAACAGAAAATCGAATTGCTAAAAAAAAAAGTTTCTCGAAAAAGGTGGAAGAAGCTCGACGTGGACAAGTTCAAGCAGGAAACAAAACTAAACTTTTTAAACCTGTTACTGAGGCAATGCTTGGCAAGCAACCAGAAATACCAACATCATGCCGAGAAGAACTAGCAAAAATGAAAGAAAAGGGGTTTGTTTGGTTTACTCGGGGAAAGTTCGATAGAAGAAACTGTAAAAATTGTAAGCGAACTTGTAAGACATATTACTGATCCTGCTGCACGACAAGCTGAGTTTAACATGCTAATGGACAATCCTCTTGCACTTCAACATGCAATAACAATCTTTACGGTTAATCCAAATGAGTTAAGAAAGATGATGGAAACATTGTCACAGAAAACAGAGAAATAGGTTAAGCAACAAACAATAATGGCTGAAATTGTAATGCCTGATGAAAAACATAATATTTTACAGAAAAAAATGCTAGGTCAAAAATAAATAATTACGAATTTGATGAATTTATTAAAAAAATATTTGAAAAATGAAAATCTCAAAAATCTTGATAACATTCGAAATTGGTCAGAAGATGATTGCGATAAACTGGTAAATAATTTAAAAGGATTATACAAAACATTGTTGATAGCTGATAAAGAAATTAAAAAAGCTACAAAAAATGAAATGTTATTCTTACATGATAGAATAAGAGATGGAATTATTGCTGTGGTTTTATTTGATACAGCAACACAGTATAGAACTAGAAAAGAAGAATATGGTAAAGGTTGGAATTTTAAAAGACTGTTCAATAAATATGAAAGCGAACAAGATAAAACATTACCAGAGGGAACCACTGAATCTGGAGTTAAAGTTTTTACATCAAACGCAGAAATAGTCGGTTAATGCTGTTGATATCCTCTAAAGAAGCTGGTAATCAAAGTGTAGAGATCGATAACAAAATTATTGATATACTTGATAATCTAAGATCGAGAGGAGTACTAAATTTTACACCGCGATCTTATCTAAAATAATAGTATAATGACAACAACATTATTGCTTGATTCGTCGCAGACAACAGGAAACGGCGCAAACTTTTCTATGCATTAAAATCCGCCAATAGAACTTGATCCTACAAAACAATGAGATTGGGTTAATTTCTTGTACTTTTTCGAATACTATGCCTAACGTAAAAACTGGGGTCAACGATGAAATTTCATTTACTCCGATTACAGCATCTTCAACATTTACAACAAGAAGATTAAAAATTATACAAGGAGCTTATAATGTCACTGATCTGAACAAGACAATCAAAAAGCTCATAACAAAAGCTGGCGGTGTGGCTGCTAATTTTGAGTTAACAGTGAATTATAACACCTTGCGAGCTAGGATAACTCTGAAAAATATGTTAATCGGTTTCGAACCAAGGGAAAGAAGTATTGCACAACTATTAGGATTTACTGAAAAAAGTTATAGTGCTCTTGATCAAGCTATTACGTATGACAGTGAACTGCCAGTAGATATAACAGAAGTAAATACAATACTTGTAAATTGCTCAATTGCATCAGGTTCTTACTCAGCCAGGGGGAGCAGAGGACAAACAATCTACAGTTTCTCACCAGAAGTTTTACCAGGATCGATCATGCAAATTAATCCACGTCAAATTATATATTATCCAATTAATATTGAAAATCAAATCACAAGCATCACAATGCAGCTCACAGACCAGTCGAGTAGACAGATCGATTTGAACAACGAAATCGTCACGTATTATTCACACCTACGCACTGTGTACGCCCGCAATTTTGTAAACATAATTTTATAGATGAGACGAAGAAATGTTTATCGAAGAACAATCGTAGGTGGATTTTTTTGGAACTATTTACAACAATTGCAGAGAATATTCCAGGAATTGCATGTAAAGTAGCACCCATTGCGCTCGACGCAGGTAAAGATGTCGCTACGGGGGCAGCTTCTTCAGACGTACCAGCTTCAGGCGCTAACTCAGACGCTACAAGAGATTCACTCATCGCCGCTTGTAATAATCTTGGTATAGCTCCACCAGGTACAGCTGCAAATGGCGT